TGCTTCATAGCAGATGTTTGCTGCCTGCAGCACTCCTATAGGCTGCTCCCTGCTCCCTCCCTTCTCAGCTTTCCTCCAAATGTTGACCTCTCGTTGTCACTTTCCAGTAGCAAAGAAGCGTACCTCACAGCCTGAAAGAGTGACCTTGGCATCAGCTGCACTATGCTTGCCCCCTGCCCTCTCTGCCATCCTCTGAATTGCCCTGCCCTTCGTTTTCATGCAAAAGCATTTCCCCTCTGTCCTTCAAGTCACTTCTTCAAACTGGAAATGCATGGGCAACACCCTGGGCATTAAAGATATGAAAAAATGCCATCCTCCACTCTGCTTCCCTTATTCTCCTCCACTATAAATACTCTACAACACATCTTGGGACCATCCACAAGCCCCACCATCGTCTCCCCCGCCCACCACATCTGTGGCATAAACACTTTCCTGAAAGTAAGCCTATGACATTCCCATAAACCATTCAGCTAAACTCTTCATCCCTGCCTTCATTCTTTATTGTAGACTGGTGATATACTGTTCTTTTTTTCTGTACAATACTAGAGATAGATACCATTTCTTGATATATTACTATCATATTTCCTTCACTGTCCACAGTTTGCTGACTGAGACTAAGCAAGTTCCATCTAAAAACATATCCTGCTCCATCTCAGTGGTCAGTTTCAATCCTTGTTCCTTCCATCATGCACTGACCCATTATTTGATATTCACAGTAATGAGGAGACAAGCATGGCGTCAGGACGAGACAGATGTGATTAACGGGGCTCCGTGAACACGCTGGTAACTGTCCGGTGGTGGGCTGTGGGGGCCCAATCTAAGCCCTGTAGGGGTGAAGATAGATTGCTTGGCAAAGTTCCCAGCAAGTGTTTGAATGGCAATTCTGTGCTTACTGGGAGAAAATCAAGCTTTTCTCAGCTGGATGGTACAGGAGAGAATTTCAGCTCTCTGTAAGTCCTCGGCATACTTTTTTTGTTTAGTCTACTTTAGCTATTAGCATCAGATCTACTGGGAACTATCTTTCTTTCTTTCTTTCTTTCTTTCTTTCTTTTTCTTTTTCTTTTTCTTTTTCTTTTTCTTTTTCTTTTTCTTTTTCTTTTTTTTTTTGCAATGATACCCATGGAAAAAGCTGCATTGTTTGCTAATTGATATAAAAGAAGAAACAGAAAACCCTTTGGATGGAGGAGGGAAAGAATCCCCCCCCCCCCACGGAATTGAAAGGCGGCGAATTACATGAGAGAGAGAGAGAGACAGAGCTCTTTGTAAGTAAGGAAAAGATCTTTTTTTTCTTCAATCTGTCCAAGGGCAAGAATGAAAACAATAAATTAATGTTTAATTGAACGATAGAAGTAATCTTCTTGTGTGTTGGACTACTTCCAAAATAACGCCCATCTTTGCACCTTTGTTCCTTGGACCCCTGCCAAGGCTGTGAAAACACTGCCAATATGGAAGAAATTAATATGGAAGAAATTAAAGAAATTCAAAAAACACTTCTGGAAATACAGACCTCTTTAGCAGCCTTGCAGCGATCTCAACAGGCAATAATACTGCAACAGAAGACTGTTTTAATTAAGCAACTTGACTGTTTCTTAATTGAATCAAAAGTTGGCTTTGATAACTTAATTTTTTCTATTAATCAAGCTTTGACCAAATGATTTGTATCTGAGCAGAATATGCAAAATATCCAGCAAGCAGAAGAAAAATTTGAAACTGGGAAGATAACAGGTGAATTATTATGGGATGGACCTATAAATAGACAACAAGCAGATGGATATTTAGAGAGTAAATCATTATGGGATGGGCTTGTAAATAGACAACAAGCAGATGGATATTTGGAAACATCAGGAATAAAAAAGCCTCCATGTGATTTGCTTCTTAAGCTGGAAGAAGAGAAGATAGCTGGGCTACAGTCCAAGACACATGATCTACTACAGACACTACGATATTCTAATGTAAACAAAGAAGCAATGGGCAGACAGGATTTATTACATGATTTATTACAGGCATGTTTTTTTGTACGAGCGGAAAAATTGGCACAATTGGTGGAGCTAATCAGCATGAGATTATTGGATTTGCTTGCTATGTTGGAGAAGGAGAAAATAGTTAACCATTTAAGAGAGGCTTTATGTGGCTACATTTGGAAATTCTACTACAGATATCACGATGTTATAATGCAAAGAAAACAGAAAGGTTTGGCAGAGGTGTAAAAAAAATCAAAGATAAGAGAACCTTCTTTCTTGTTATTTCAAAAAGGGGTCACGCATAGAGGTTGGCATGCTCATATGTAACATAGAAAAGCTAAGCTACTGTTTTTGGTGAAGCATTAGTAACTTAGTTTAAAGAAATTTTGGTTAAAAGATACTATAGGTATTAGTTATCACCAAATAGATAAATTAATGATGCTTTTAAAGATGCTAAGTGGATGTTTTTAATTTGATCTGTATTTGAAAATAAGAGAATTCATTATAGGTATTAATAGTCAACAAATAGAGATGTTAAGACATTTTTAGAGATGATAAATGGATGCTTTTGATGTTATTTGTAAGTGTAAAGATTTTTCTCTTTCCTTCTCTTTGTTCCTCTTTTCATCTTAAAAAGGGATGATTTAAATAGGCTGGTATGTGCACATGAGATATAGAAAGGCTAACTTAATGTGGTTGGTGAAAATTTAACAACTTAGCTTAATGAAACATTGTTAAATGGATATCTTTGATTATATTTGAAATTGAAAATAGGAGAACTTACTATTTTAAAAAAAACGAACGACTTATATGGGTTGGTAAGTTTATATGTGATACTGTATGGAATTAACTATATTTGATTAAATGGAGTTTAAGTCAGATGAAACATTAGTGAGTTTAAAGAAAATTGGCTTAAAGTTATCACTAAGCAGAGTAGTTAGGATGCCCTTTGAGATGTCAAATAGATCCTTTTGAAGTTACTAGTAATCGTGGTAGTGAGGAAGTTATTTTTTAATAGAAAAATGGATAGATTTTGAATTGTTCAGAAATGTTTAGATGAAAATTTATCACTGAAGAAGAAAGATGTTGCAATTTCACCCAACCTGGAGAAGCTTCCCTTAAATAATGGTCAAGAGAAGCAGGACTTTGCAAGAAAAGATGGGATTGATTTTACCAATAAAGAAGATGGAAGAAGGAAGATAGTGACTTCTATCAAATTTGGAATTACATTTTTATTTGGCTGGAGAAACGGGACTTGTTTTTGATCTAAAGATGTTTTCATGTTTTTATAAAAGGATTATAGTATGATCATAGAATGTTAAAAGACATGTTGTAGGAGGCTGACCCAGTAAATCTGATGTGTGTGATGATTGATATGTGTAGTTTTAGTTTAAAATCTTAATAAATAAATAAACAAATAAATAAATAAAGATATTCACAGTAATGAGTGGCATTGCTAGATTACTCTCTCCTCTATTTTCTATAGTTGTGTCACTTTAGTCCACACAGAGCTGGAAATTAATATCTAGTCTACAACCCTGACACCCCATTGGAGAAACACATGAAATAAACTTCTGAATGAGCCATGTAACTTCCATTTAGACCAAAAGAATGTATGTCTGAAGATTGATTTAAACAATGTTTGACCAACCTGATTTTCCTTTTTTATCCTGGAAGAATCACTTCTGAGTCAGAGATAAGTATTTGTGCATCAGACAAATACAGATTTGTACAGGAATCTATATTACATTACCATTATCAGTATATGAACTGCTTGTGCGTGCGTGCGTGCGTGCTTGCACACATATAAGGAAGTGGTTGCAACATTTATCCAAAACAAGACAGTTTCCCATCACTGCCTCCAGACAAGACCAGTGATAAACATTTCTGGTAAGAAATGGCTTCTGCATATGCATCTCTCCAGAACATATGCTGGAGAGATGAATGATATACCCTTCCAACACACTGATAAGGTAAACAAACAAGCCTCTGATAAGAGAGTAAAAAAAACAGCATGTAGGCTTTACTGTCCCTAAAACGAATCAGTCATATATTTTAACACTTATTTGGAGATGTCAGTAGTGTCTTTTAGACCTGGTCTAAATGTCTAAAGCTGCAACCATAAACTTATTAGGGAGTAAATGTAATTTAATTTAATGAAACCAATTTCTGAAAAAACACATATAGGACAGTGCTTCAAAGCAACCATCTGATGCATACTAACATGCAAAAAGGGTGCTCTGAACCAAGTGGGACTTGTGCCCAGGTAAGCATGCATAGGATGGTGCTGTCAGGCTGCAGACCTGCTCATATTTCTCTGGCAGTAATCCCAACTAAATGCAGGATAGTGTTTACTAAGTGCTGGGCGGTGGCCCCTGAAGCAATAACAGGAAATCCCTGGTTTATGAACTCACTAGATAAACCAAGTCAGAAGTTTCCAGTGTCAGAGCCCCAGCTGCAATATGGAAGTAACCAGGAGCTACCTCATAGGGTTGTTATAAGGTCAGCAAAGTACCCTGAAAGCTTCTTTGAGTACCAGTTTTAGCAGAGTGGTGGAACACAAGTCAAATGAACAAATAAATACCTCAAGCACTTCAAATAATCTGTCTCACTATTTGGTATTTAGAAATACAACCTCAACTTGCATTGCACGCACATATAGGCAAACTCACATCCTATGCATCCCCCTGCCCCTCCAAGATTTGAGTTTAAGTTCCTGGTTCCAGATTAATATCACTTAAATACTTTTTTTCTTTTTTTGCTAAGAGGATTCCTGTGCCTTTAACAGCATGCTGGAAAAGGCTGGATAATGATGCTTCCTCTTGCTAAGGAATAGGCTAACAATCCTAATTGCTGGAAAGAATAAGAATCGCCCAGGTATGTAAAAATATACAAATGTAAAAATAAAAATAAATGTTATACATATCTTATACATATCTATAGTAGAAACTGCTTGCCCCACTGACTTCTTTGTCCACACACACTTTCCAGCAGTCTGTACTCTGCTTTGCAATTTGGAAGTGTATTCTTAGTACTCACCTTAGATCAGGGTTAATTGTAGCTATATAGTTGTAACATCTCCCCAGGATGATCTCACGTAGCTGTTCAGTGGTCCCTTTGCCTTTCCACTGCAGGACTTCGGAGCTGGTGCTCTCTTTCTTTCCCAGCTGAAACGCAACAACCACCACAATAACAACTAGCATAACTAACAGAACGATGAATCCAGTCAAAATCCATCTGTGCCTCGCAGTCCTGGTAGAGCTACTTTGAAAGGGCATGGTGATCGAAGTTTCTGAGAAGCAGCAGCAGCTGCCACTTCCTTCGTCACTGGCAGAAAAGTTGTTTTCTAATGTCACACACTGTTTCTGTTCTTCTCCCTCTCAACCTTTATCTCTCTTTCCCTTTCTGGTTCTCGCTCCCCCACCTTCCATGTAAAGGCAAACTAGAGACGGGTGTGGGTTGCATTTCTGCTGATTTAGGCAACAGACTCAGAACAACTGAGAGCTATCCATTTTGCCCTTTCTCTCACATTTATAGGGTGTTGCAGCAGGGACCAGTCATTCTTGTTTTGAACACTGCTTTGTACTTTGGTCTGCCATGCGGTCTTGGTCAGAGGTGTCTCACAGGGATGGCATCTTTTCCCACCCTTGGAGATAAATATGCAGAGGAATCATTTTGCAAAGTACACTATTTGAAACAAAAAGGGAGGAATACCTTCTATGCTTTCAAAGTTCAGATTTGCTTTTTTTTTTTTTGCACAAATTGCTGATTTTGTCTGTTTATAAAGCAGTCAACAAACCTGCTATGCTCATGTGTTTGCACTCAATGTAAACCATAATTTATTTTATTTATTCATTTATTAAAGGCTTTTGTATGCTTTTGTATTATACAAGATCTCAGGATGGCTAGTTACAAATATAATGGTTTAAATATATGTGGAATTACCTTTTAAAATTCGTCTAAGGGCACAGTCCTGTTGTAATGATCCTAAGCCCCTGAGCTCAGAGGCTGAATGTTTACTATCAGGAAATCTTGGAATCGCAGGACCAGGAGAATGTTCGCTCTGATCCACACAGAAGACATTACATTCAGTTTCAGCAGTTTATTTGAAAGACACCAGAGAATCTCTTTCTGACAGAGAGTAAAACAACAGTGCTGCAGGGTAGTCAGTACACAGAACTGGCTATTAGCTCCCTGAGCATGTACAGAAGGTTTTATAGGTTGTGGGTCACGTTCACAGCTGATGAGCAATGAATGAGTACAGGGAACAATACGAGTATGAACAGGGTTAAGGAGAGGGTTAACGACAGAAAGAATATTGTAAAATGTTGCATCAATACAGGGAAATTGAACAGGCAATATGCAAAGAGTCGAGTGATATGAATCATAACTGGTCCCAAGTGTGGGTTCTGACATTCAGGGAAGGCGATTGCATTAGTGCATAGAAATCCGTTCAGCCTGCTTCTGGTAGCTGGAGAGCTAGCTGGATACTTTTTTTCCCTTTTCAATAGAGTGAAATGTATCGCTGTAGATTGGCAGCATCCACCCACCCGCATTCCTGGCCAGATTTGAATATTCTCACCTTTTGATCCAGTGTTGCTGTTAGCCCCAGGCCGCATGCCTGATTCAGTCAGCAGGAGAATCGATGGCTTTCTATCTGTTTCCCCAGGCTTGTCGAGCTGGCCAAAAAGTTATAGTCCTTTCTAGGGAAGAGGAGTAAGGGCACCACTGCCTGATTTTTTAATAAAAAGACACACAAAAGCTTATCTTTTTATTTAAAGGTTTTATTTGGACTGTCTCAACGTTACTAAGTGCTTAAATGAGTGGGTTGAATGAGTTTAAGTCTCCAGGGGCTGATGAGCCCCATCCTGGAGTCATAAAGGAACTGGCAGAAGAACTCTCAGAACCACTGTCTAACATCCTTGAGAAATCATGGGGGTGGGGGGTGGGGACATGGGAAGTGCTAGATGACTGGAGAAGGGCTAATGTTGTCCCCCTCTTCAAGAAAGCTTGGGAGAGAGGGAAAACCTGGGAACTACAGACCAATCAGTCTGAGATAAAACCCCTGGGAAATTCTGGAGCAGATTATAAAGCAGTCAGTCTGCAAACACCTTGAAAGCAATGCAATGATTACTAGAAGGCAATGTGGAATTGTCAAGAACAAAGCCTGACAGACTAATCTGAAAGAACTGGGGATGTTTAGCCTCAAGAAAAGAAGACGGAAGGAAGATATGATGGCACTCTTCATGTTCTTAAAGTTGTCACAAACAGGAAGGTCAGGATTTTTTCTTGATCATCCCAGAGGACGTGGAACAGTGGGCTCAAGTTACAAGAAGCCAGGTTCCAGCTAGAGATCAGGAAGAACTTCCTGAATGTTAGAGCAATACCACGATGGAACCAGTTACCAGGGGAGGTTGTGGGCTCTCCCACACTGGGGGCATTCAAGACGCAACTGGACAGCCACCTGAGAAGGATGTTTTAACTGGGAGTCCTGCATTGAGCAGGGGGTTGAACCCAGTGGCCCTTTAGTTCCTTCCAACTTTACTATTCTGTGATTCTATGGTTCTATTACCTAACACCGGGTAGGAAGAGTGGCAAGGAAATCTTCACCACCCTGTCCCCCTGCCCTGCATTTTCACTAGATGGGTTTGTTTGCCTGTCTAGCAACAGAATTTCAAATCAGGAAGGAAAGAGGTTAGAGGGGTTAGCTTGGATCCTGGATGATCCAATCTCCTTCCATAATGATAACTTTTTTGTTCATAAATCTCAGGATCCTAAGGGAAGGTTAAAGGCAATTTTCCAGGATTGGAAGACATGGATGAGTTCACAAAAGACAAAAACCATCCTGGCAAGAACCCCCACAGCCCACTTTTACAATCCCAATTTTTCCAGCCACTGACAGCCTCTTGAAAATGCTCCAGTGGCACCTAGGAAAGGTGGTTTGTGCTTACAAATCCTCCATCTTTTATTTTTGCACAACCCCCCCCCCCTCCGCAAATGGGCAGCCTCACTTGGGCCACATTTAGGCAGGCACCTGCTTTCAAAATCAAACAGGTACCAAACCTGAACATGGACCCAGAGCTATTTTTCTTTTGTTTGCCTTGTCAGCTGTCAAAGGGCCAAACATAAGGTGTGAGTGATCTTTGCTAACTTATGTATCCCTTCACTGACAAATGTCCTTGGGACATTTCACATTTTTTATTTCATTAAAATAAAACACAACAAAAGAGCAACAACCAAAATAATAAATACAGCAATGAAAATATCAGCGTGCAAAAACATTTAAGAGACTAAATAGTAAATTACAAATGTTAATAATCAAAGCAACATATTAAAGATTAAATGCCTGCTGGAAGAGGAACTTCTTAACCTGCTGCTTAAACTACAGTGAACATGCTAGCTGGATCTCCCTGGGAAGGGCTTTTCACAGACCCAGGGCAGATTCCCTGGAAGGCTCACCTGTGGTACCATTTTTGATGGAGGCTTAGCAGGTATAGACATATTGATTTACTGGATTTTGGTGGGAAGAAGTAGGTGTCTATGGTAGAGGCCATTTACAGTGGGCTGAGACTAATCATATCATTTATTTCTGAACAAGCAGATGTCAGGACGGAATTCAGTACAACAGATCAGTGTTTTCTTCTGCAGCATCTAATACCAAGGCCTAGCTCATGAAGTATTGAAAACTATATTTACTCCCTTTGTTTGTTACTTGTCAGCATTTCATTTAGTAAATAGGTGCAGACTATGAGATAGGCCACAAATATTGACAAGACTTATGATAAACCAAGGGCTCTACAGCAATGTAGACTTGCTAGCACACACAGGATCTCAGCACCATAACAAAAAGGATTGTCATTCTTACAGGAACAACCAAGTTGTTTGGTAGCACTTCTTTTATTCAGTGACTACATGAATAATGTAGTGGAGGAATGATAATCTTCCTCCTCCTTTTTCTCTATCCAACAGTGTAAGATCTCTGTTCTTTTAAAATGCATATGCTTATGGGAAAAAAATATCAGGAGATTGCTGTGAACCTGAAATTCTTGAAATGAATTATAAAACACTAAAATTATGTATTTACAAAATGATCCAAAAGATGCCAACTGATTCTAGATGAACATCTAATTGCACAGTGCTCATTCTACAAATATATGGGTATCTATTTCTCAGGGAATTTGGCTTAGAAGGTTCATAAACAAAGCATGAAAATGACTACTTTTAGATTAGTGCAAGTGCGTGAAATATTTTTCAGAACTTAGGGAATTCAGTTGGTGTCTCTTGTATTGAAAATTTTTGAGGGGAAGATCTTAGTGCAAATTCTGTGACAGGATAAAATAGAACTTCTGGAGGTCCTTTGGAACACATTCTTAAGATGTACCCCTTTTCACTCTTTTTCTTCATATTTCATATTCTTCATTCGGAGGTGGTGCCCCATCAATTTTTCTAAAAGTGATCAAGGCAACCCTCTTTTAGGTTTGAGTGATATGCCAACAGAAAAGAAAAGGAAGGGTAGTAGAGTTATTCTTGTTCTGAAAGACTGGCCCAATTCTCACTTTCACCAGTTTCCTTTTCTTTAAGAGGACTGAAGGTGAATATTAGAGAATGGTATTCTAACAAAGTTTTGGACATTCTTCAAGAAGGATTTAGTAGGTGTTACCACCTTCCTAAGTGTGAGAAATACCTCTCTCATTATTTTAATTCCTTGATTTACTCTGAATTGAGACAAGCTTTTATGGAATTTTGTTTCTATACTGTGACTCTTTCTTATATGGATAGAAGTTACACAAATGTTTCTGTGTTTTAACATGTTTCTATATGTGGTGCTGCACAAAGAGGGAATATTATACATTGTACACTTTTGTTGGTTTTATGTTGGTTCCAGGAAACTATTTATCATACATTTGTTGAAAGAAATGTCTAACAGAATCTGCTTTGAGCCAAGGTGTAAATTACTTACAGATTCTCATGTAACTAATCAAACAACCTCATTTGCTATTGCTACCAAAAAGATCAGTCTTTATGTTGCTCATGTGAGATTATTTATTTTCATGTTTTCTGCTTTTGGGGAGTAAGGTGTAAAAACATTATACACACTAGCATTGATTGACCAGCCTTGATTTTGGGCACCATTAATGCTCAGAAGTCATAGTGCTATTTAAGTATACTTTTATTCAGAAAAAAGGGGAAGAACCAGATTTTTCCCCTACCTGTGAAAACAGCTTTAGCTGGCTGAATAAGCTGAAACTGAAGTGCATAACCAATGTGTACTTGACTTCCTGCATATTTAGTCATGGATTGCCTCTGGTCTGTTGCAAGAGGCATTTGACTGGGCCCAGCTCCATCTCTGCAGTGGTCTTATTATTTTTAGCTAGTCTCTGCTGAGAAGTCATT